AAAACTGCTTTTCTGATGTGAGGGGCACATTATACTTCCACGTGATTTCTGTGCGGTTGGTCTCTACGTGACATACTTAGTGGAAACCTCATAGAAAGCGGTGAGTGTGCAAAGCTGTGTTCAAGGTGATTGAAATCTTGGTTTGGAGTTTCTTTGTTTGGTTATGGAGGCGTCTGGCCGAGTGAGTTGCTATCAACTTGACCTTTCCAGGCTCTGAAGAAGGCGAAATCCGCCGAAACGTCAGCTTATTCGTGGACAAAGAACAATAACACCTCGCGTTTGCTCAACAAAAATACGAAGAATTACTTGATCAATGCCGAGGTTAATAGAAAGTCGGTCGTGGGAGTTACTACAATGTTATTGTTTTGCTCAGATCATAAAGTCGATGTATTTTGGGTGATGTTCGATTTCATAGCACCAATTGCTGACATATTCTTGAGCAAATGCATTAAGTTTAGTGCGCAGATATGTTTCGTCACGACATTCTACTGTAATACTTTTAATCGGTGTCTTCCCACAACCCATGTCCTCTCAGGAGTTGGGCGAGAAAACTCGCCTTTTATAATTATTAGCGTGTAATCACCTGTAAAAAACCTTTTCGAACCAGTCTCTTCATTAATCCACGGATATTGTTGTCGGTAAGCAGCGTACAAAAATCTCTAAGCCGAGGAGAGTATTACATATGAGGAATGGGTGCAGACTTGTTTGATTTATTTTTTTTTTAGATCCATGATTTATTTGCAGCGTGTACTGAGTCGATTAAGAAACTAGGGATTCTAGTAATGGAGGTTCACTCAGTAGGAAAGGAACTTTGACCATCGTCAGCTTTGTTGAAAGGACCCGCGTTTCACTTAGTACAGTTTGTTTTTCATTCTTGTAGAATTGATAGGTATAGTATTCGGGATCCTCACTTAGAAAAATATCGTGGAACATGAGAAATAGATTGACTGATCATAATGAGAAGTATGTCCAAACACTTGCATGCGCTTTCGTCTTCCCCTGTTTTATTCCTAGCTTTCCTGCTTTTCGTTTAATTGAAGTCGATTATCGGGTGACCTACTATCGACAGTGTATGGCAGTACCAGGACTGAAGTCCTGTTAATGTTCTTTACACTGTTCTTTTTGCTCTTCTTGGTTACATTTCGAGGACGAACAATTCGTCTTCCTTCCCTTGCTCTCCCAACGCGCATATGACCCAATTCCAAATCACGCTCCAATCACGATGTCTACTTAACGCCTGCGGATGGGGATATCCGCTTTCTCGTTTACTTTTTTCTTCTCCACGTTACAACCGTGTTACCTTCAACGTTAATTACTAGTATTTGCTTAAAGTGATCCAGTCTTTATCGTTAGCAGTGAAATTATGGAATAAATCCGTCCCTATTCGTAATTTGGAATTATAGTAGAACTACGCAACGGTATACCGCCTTATCGTACATGGGTGACGTTCCTCGGTGTCGAACTGCGGTGTACAGCTGGGAGATTCATCCCAGTGGCACGGTCTTTCAAGCTGACAAGGCGTCTTGCGTTTTCAGAAGGAAGCCCAGCTAAGAGTAAGCCAATACCAGAATCCACCACCGTCCTGCTATCAAACTAGCCGCATGGTGGCAGATCTCCCTCTGATCCGCAAGGGCGGCGAGTGAAGACTTTTGCCAGGATGACCTGGGAACTCGAAGAAAACAATGGCTAAACCAACAAAACTCCGAAAAACGAAGATCATGCCGAGACTCGCACGGCCATTGAAGAGCCTTGCAAGCATCCAAGTAAGTATTTTGCGCCGAAACCAGAGCTCTCTTACACATATTGATTATAGGTAGTTATCCCGTCCAATTATCCAAGTAAGTAGAACTACGGTTGCATAAAGTCCATCTTCACCAAGAAGAAGAATTCGTTCAGAATCTCCCATTGACCATTGATATTTCAATGTCCTTCGTCATTTAATGATTTTTTGGAACGCTAGCCTTCCTTGGTGCCTTCATTCCATTTTTTTCCTATCATTCTTTCCGTTTTAATTCCTACTTTTATCACTTTTCTTGGGTTGTATAGTAATATCTGGCACTATATTTTTTACCACGGAGGTTCCTCATATGAGGGATCTGAAGCCAGTTCGTGGCGAGGCTATATGGCGCGTCCCCAGCTGGCGCATAGGGGGTTAATCGCGGACCAATAGCGACCGTATGTTTCTCTGAGACACAGGTGGATCCAGGGGATGGACTCCCGGTTTCTTCTGAGCCGATTTGTGACATACTTTCTGTATTTACAAGGCGTATTCATGCACACGTGTGTGGGTGTGTTCTAGTTTATGCAGATTGTATTCTACGAGTCAATTCTGCCAAAAGCCTCCAATCAAGTTACTAGGAAGTATATGGGAGACGATTAGGAGTCGCCTTCAACATATAAGCTCCATGTCCATTCTGGGAAAGCCTGACAAGCCACCCGTGAGTATACCCAGCCCCTACGTTCAGAGCCCAGCAAGTTATACGTGGATATCAAAAAGCTAGAAACAGTAAAAGGAACAGGCCTCGTTCCCCTGACCCCGAAATAGCCCCCAATTTCGCAGCGTTGGGTTGGACGAGTACGGAGAGGCTGCTAAAATCTCATGGGCAGTGGAAGCTACCTGGATTACAAAGTGCTAATGTGACGATCTGTACCTACAATGCACGTACACTTGCAACCGAGTCTTCGATAGAAGACTTGCTCATGCAAGCAAGAAGGATAAAGTACGACGTCATCGGCCTGACCGAGACGAGGAGACGCCAGTCTTTCAACGCCGTCTATGGCACCAGAGAAGAACTGTTCCTCGGAACATGCGACAGTAGACGAGTCGGCGGCATTGGCGTTCTCGTCAACACGAGTTTGTCCATGAACATCGATTCATTCGAGCAACTAACAAATCGAGTCGGACGTTTACGGTTTAAGAGATGTGGATCAACACCGGCTTTGACAATCTTCGTTGTTTACGCGCCGGCATCAAACTATGACGAAGGAGAATTCGAAACGTTCTGTATGGACTTGGAGAAGTTCTACAAAGAACGCCATACATTCTTCAGGGTCATCATTGGAGATTTCAACTCTAAGACTGCACCAGGAAGATCGTCTAAAGAACGTCACATTGGGACCCACGGATTAGAATAGAACGAACAGGGTGAGCGGCTATCTGAGTTTATCATGACGACCAAGACCATCCAACAGGATTGGCGGAATACTGGACGAAGGGCATCCATGTGAGCAAGCAGAGTTTCGAAAAGGATTTCATATGATGGACAATATCCACACGATAACAAAACTCAGTGAAGTATCACGAGAGTAAAAAAGACTGCTCTGTCTTATTTTCATCGACCTTAGGAAGCCCTTTGACTCAATTGAGATAGAAGCAGTCATGGAAGCCCTTTATATCACGGAGTCCCTACTCAGTACATAAAGATTCCTCGTGAGCTGTACAAAAATTTCACAACCGAGATAACACCATTCTACAACGATATCAGCATCGATGTCAGAAGAGGGATTAGACAAGGCGACACTATCACGCCAAAATTGTTTACCTCCATCTTCGAGAACCTCACGCAAACATTGGAATGGGATAATATAGAAGTGAAAATCGATAGTCGGCAATTACACCATCTTCGCTTTGGTGATGACATCGTCCTTATAACACTAAACATTAGCCAAGCGGAACGAATGTTGGCCGACTTTGATAAAGCCAGTAGAAAGGTTGGTCTTCGACTAAATCTCGCAAAAACTGTGTTCATGAGGAATGGACTGGTTTCGTATGCCCCATTCACGGTCCCTAGGACAAATATCTCAGAATGCTCCAGTTATGTATATCTAGGTAGGGAAATCAACATGTTGAACAACTTAGGTCCAGAGTTGAGCAGAAGTAAACAAGCGGCTTGGGGAGCTTTCAAGAGCATCGAGGATGTGATGAGCAGAAGAAAGAGCACCCGTCTCCGTGCTCACCGTTTCGACTCAGCGGTAGTTCCTGCGTTACCATAAGCTTCAGAAGACTGTTCGCTTATTGAACGCGTGGTCGAAAGGACGATGCTAGGAGTACTCCGTGTCACGCAAGTAGTGGAGGGGATCCGAAACTGCGACTTGTGTCGTCGATCAAAAATCAAGGATGCTTTTATGTACGCCATACAGTCGAAGGTAAGGTTGACCGGACACGTAATACATATGAACGTGAACCCATTAACATGAGTCGCTACTGATTCCTCGGGATGTCAAACGCACTGCACGAAGACCACCGACCCGATGGTTAGAGTTCTTCACGAAAAACGTAGAAGAAAGATATGCTGCTCAACGAGTTCTTAGAGCGAGTAGAACCCACTGGGCTATTCTTGTACGCGGCAGGGAAAAGTGGAAGATTTGCTGGCGCCCACTCGAATCACTCGACGATCAAGGGGCTACAGGTGGTACAGGTGATATTTTGTACATGTATAGCATTCTAGGGGCGTGCGTTGCGCGCTGGTTGGAGGCACTCTGCAATACATATGAGATGGATTCCCGCGCTTGGCCCACAAAGCCTTCCATTCCTCCGGGGTCGGAAAATTAATACCAGACTTGTCTGGGAGGATAGCAGCTCTTGCTCGATACATCGGTAAGTTACCGGGAATCATTGTAATATCCAGATATGCTTTCAGTCACCTCCAGGGACGCTTATTGAAGTCGAGTGCATGGTGCATCACTTGGTGGTTGATCAACGCTGTGAGCTTTATCCTGTGTCCTTTTATAGCATTCTAAATTGCGCTCTCAAATTCTTGGAATATCCATATTGTACGGTTCAGTTTAGTAATACGTGAAAATGGCAGCACTTTCTAGTAGTGTGAGAGCCATCCATCACAATTTCTTTCGCAGGTACTCTTTTCTGAATGACAGTAACTGAGCTATAATAATATTATATTGCTGTCTTCCTTCGACCTAAATAGGCGTTTTTGACAATCGCATTATTTGCTCTTTGAATTTTTTTCGCCTTTTAGCCATTTCAGCTATTATCATTGAAAATGAGTCGAGTTCTGGAAGGTCAAGTCGCTTTGGTCACAGGTGCAAGCAGAGGGATAGGTGAATTCATTGATATGGTTGTACCTTATTTTTCTTGTGTTTGACGAGCGTATGATGTATTCCTGAGTATTTTTTCTGTTTTGAGGATTACAGGTCGTCGATTTAAATAAAAACTTATCGTTCTGGGTATGAATGAAAGTGTTGGTAAAATTTGGACTAGCTTGTATGGTCGTTTTGATGTCTAGATTTGATGCAATAAATCAACTCTATCCAAAGTTTAGATCGTTTTATACCCTAGTGTTAGAAGTAGGTACACTAAACTACAAAAGTTGATGGGTTTTTAGGGAGAGGCATAGCTCTACAGCTAGGTCAATCGGGAGCAACGGTATACGTTACCGGCAGGAAGCCAGCAAATAGTTTGCAGAGTCTTTATCGAAATCTACCCACACTTGAGACGACTGCGAATGGTTGGTTTGTCATATACTCGTTCTTCCCAGATATTGTTCAAACCTTTTGCAGCTGGATACATCCAGGAAACCTTTATGTGTAACATTACTACCTGAGGAACAGCTTCTTCATCTTCATTTTCTTCTTCATTCATTACTTCTTCTAGGGCTTATTGATTATTTTTTTTGTAGACATTCGACAAAGAGGTGGTAGAGCAGTCCCGGTCTACTGCGATCATACTAATCATACAGAGATTGCCGATGTTTTCGATCGTATTCATAAGGAAAATGGAGGGGCTCTCAACATCTTGGTAAACTCAGCTTACTCAGGTGTTCAGGTTACTTAGTATGATCTATTTGAATCTTTTGGCTGTTTTTTTACGTTACTTATTTCTATTTTCTATTATCCACGAAGAGCGATTTGTAGCTAATATTTTAAGGACATGGCTGATGCTGGCTCAGTTCCATTTTTTGAAACAGATCCTTTACTTTGGGATTCAATTAATAATGTAGGGTTGCGGAACAACTACATTTGTAGCGTACATGCAGCTCGAATGATGGTGAAGAGGAAGTGAGGTTTCTGTACGTGTGGGCTATTTATTGCAAATTATTCGACAGTTTTCTTGTTTCTTTCTCAATCTGACCGGACAGCGGATTTTGTTTAGCACCAGTATTTTTTATTTCATACACTGTTGATGTTGTAGGCCAAAAAACGAATGCTTTTGTACAATAGTAATCCGTTACTACTTTATGGTTGTACTATGTACGTTTTTTAAGCCACTAGTGTAGAACTATTCGAATGTATGGTGAGATGTAACACTTACGAAATATCGTTTTAAAACAAATTTTCGTTTCAGGTGCATTATTGTTTCCATACTTTCAATTGTTACCTTTAGATCTGGTCTGATTGTCAACATATCATCTGCGGGCGGTCTACAGTACACCTTCAATGTTCCGTATGGTGTAGGGAAAGCAGCGGTACATTTTTCACATAAACTTTTTGGAAGTCGTTTTGCTACTTTTTAGATGAGTTAGGTATACTATCGTAGTTCCTTCTGAGCTGAGTCAAGTGGAAAATGAGTACGACACTAAGTAAATAGCGGGATTGTAGAGCTCATTCATACTGTTTATGCAGGAATATATGATTTCCTTGATCGGAGTTCTTCCACAATTTTTTCTTATCGTATCAATCCTTGTTCACGACTTCTGTGTTGTTTTCTTTATTTTACCACACGATCCGGCATCATATTTACCACGCTGTGCAGAACCCAGAACTTCTTGCTCACAAGTGGTTTGCTCGCATCCGCGATACGCGAAGATCTTCGAACATTTTTTGTGCATGGCCGCGGTTGCTGCTTCATAGTCCTTCATCTTCGTCAAGAGTTCCGTTTAATGCCTTTCGGGTAGACTCTTTTCGGAGTCCTGAGATAGCCATGCTAAGGCGTTCGCGTATGGATTAGATGGAGTGAGCTCGTCTCGAACCTACTTAGTGGATAGAGCTGTTCCCGTAATTAACGGTGTCACTTCCACTACTTCGATTGGTCCTTTTTTGTTTAGTGCGACGTAATACATTTAAATGAAATTGGAAAACATATGCACGTTGACTTTTTTCTAGAGAACGCATTATCGATTTTTATACCAGGGTATGTATACAACAGGACAACGATGTAATCTGGAACTAAACCAAGCGAATTGACGAAGGGAAAGGGCCTAGTTCTAAAGTGGAGGTTTTTAACACATTAGGGCATTCAGAGTTGTTCTATTGAAATACGTGGAAAGGAACGGGTGGTGTAATTGGGTTTTAGTTTTTTATGACTTTCTGTTTCTAGCTTTTGGTTTCTTCACTTGGATTTCTTTTATTGATTTAATTATTTCTAGGAAATTAAGAACACCTTGCATGATGTTTCCAGGTTAAAGATTTTCGCTTAAATTTCCCGGTCTTTATCATTTTCAATATTACTGAATTGGTATTTTATCGAAAATCATTAACGTGAATGTGAGTTCATATGTTCTTTTTATCATGTTTTTACCACTGTTTTTTTTTCGAGGAATTCTTGTTTGTATTAGTAAGTGATCTTTCTTTGAATTATTTTTGAATAGTGATGAATTATTACCCCAAACCATAATGTCAAAACTACAACATTCTACAGTTATCCTGCTAAGGTGTTTTTGATTACCAGTTCAACTTCCTTTATAGTTAGATCGAATGTCTGCTGATATGGCGATTGAGTTACAACCTTATGGAGTTTCTGTAGTGTCGCTATGGCCTGGTATGGTCCGAACCGAACTTTCTGGGATATTACGTGAAGAAGGCAAACTAGAAAGAATGGTTCGGCAGTCAAAGGTAAATATTACCTTTCTTTTACGTTAGTGTTCATTGTTGCACTTTTTTGTTGACGCGGACAGTTAATTGTTTTTAAGGTGGATGTTTTACATTGGCTCCGTTTGCTTTCTTTTACGCAGAAGAGCATTCAGTTACGGTGTTTATAATGGATGAAAAAAAGATTAGAACAAGTGCGGAAGAATGTTATATATGCAGCTTATTGGGAAACAAACTGAAATCTGTGGTGACTCGTTATTTGCTGAAATCAGGGGTTATGTTCTTGCAAAGCTCATTTTATTTAACTTAAGCGTCCATCAATTCTTTAGAGTTATACCCCGACTTACGAATTATGTCGTTCACGCAAAAGACTCGATGAGTATTACGCAGTGAAGTATTTGCGACCGCCACACCAAATATATTTTAGTTTTCGACACTACGCATTTTTTAGTGGTTCATTGATGGGTTAGTAGGTTAGATAGTGCAGCGGATATTTAGCTGAATAATCGTTACAGTGTTAGTACAATGCTCGACTGTTGGAAATGGATCTTTGTGGCGATTTGAACTACTTAAGACTATAACATATGGGCGTAAAATTTGAACAGTACGATTATAGGCTCGTTGCTTATATTGCGAGTCTTGGGAGGTTTGCAACATTTAATTAAAACGTGGGTGATGAAATACTTGTCTGGTTCACTAGTAGACAAGTATGAAGTGCGATTATCAACCGTTTAGAGGTTAAGCAGTGAGTGTTGCTTAGGCTGTTACATTATAGATGGAGAAACGTTCTCCTGGAGGTGTGAGAAAGTACAACTCTAACCTGTCTGTAGAAATATAGTTCATGTTTCCAAATTGATATCCACGAGTCCACGTGGTAGAATCGGTGCACATAAAATCAGGTGCAGAAAGGGTAACACATAAAATTCCTCTATTCGCAGACTTCTTTCGAAAATGGGAAACTTGTGGTGTTATACAAGTCCTAGTAAGAGTATAACCAGCTGATTTTATTCTGTTATCTGTTAATATCTTACTTATACTTTCATTATGTAGACCAGTTCTAGGACCAGTTGGACAAAGCTTTCAAACAGAGCGAGTCTACCGAATTTGCCGGTAAAGCCGTTGTGGCGTTGGCTACGGATAAAAAAGTACAGGAAAAGTCAGGGAAAGTTTTGATGACTTACGACCTTGCTAAGGAATATGGTTATGAAGACATTGACGGTGAGTTGGTGATAGATGATTTTTTTTCTTTTTCTTGAAAATATTACTTTCTAGTATTTTATTGGGGCAAAATTTTTTATACTGAGCTGTTACTAAACTTAGTGGCATGATTTCAAATAAAAGCAGCTGTTTTATATCCTATATGTCGTGAAGTTTTCCAACAGCTATGCCTTGTTTCTAGGTGGCTTGCCTATGGATATCCGTCGCGTCTCAACAGCTCTTGAATTCTTTGGGTTTAATCGAATTTCTGCTATCGTACCTTCTTTCCTCAGAATTCCTCTGTGGGGTATGCATTTTGCCTCGTATAAATTCCCCTTTAGATTATGGTAGATTTCATATTTCATTGTTCTTTTTTGATTTTTTAAGCGCACCTCATAAAGGTGTTTTGTAGTGTACCGCATCAAACTACACCCATTCATTGCTCACAAAGGTGCGCATTGCGCTGCTTGTCTCGTTTTTGTTTCGAATTAATATTTCTTATTCTTAATTCTAGACTTAAATATAGTGTCCATCCTGAAGACGTTATATTTTTTTTGCTTATTTTGTCTATTAGTGTTTTGTAATGAATTTGAGGGTTCAAGTTCAAATAAAGTCTTTATAACTTCGTATAGTCATTGTAAATTTACCTATTTGTCCACTTACTTGTATACCCTTTCGCGAATCCTGAATGCCTACTTGTAGTCTTCGTCACACTTGTGTTTCCCTGATAGAGGAGGTTCTTTTCTGCTCGAATTTCTGGAAATATGCGGACTAGGACCCTCTTAAGGACGGTGGGTATTCCTTGCTATATTGACCTCTGACTAAAATCCAGGTTGTTTGTTATTTATTAGTTTTTGTTGTATTATCTGCTTTTGCTATTAATCACTATTACCATTGTGGATGATATTTATTATTACTATCTTTATTTATTATTATCTACTCCCTTTTGTGAATTATTATTGCATTGTTATCTCCGAATTATTATTATTCCTATCAACGGTTAGTTTGGTTGTTGTAATATTTGAGAAGTTGAAAACGTAGTGGACGGGTAGAGGAGACATTGTCTCGCAATTCTAAGTATGATTGAATGCATAATTTGCCTATAGAATTACATACGGTGTCCTACCATTGTATCAGGTCAGCGCTTCCATCCTTCCAGACAACTCTGGCACCAATTTTTTCCCTCCTCCACCCTCTGAAGGGATAGAAGGCTTTGTAAGCTAAGAGACTAACAGACCAGAATGGAACCAACCGCTTGTAAACTGCAGGCCACCTCTGACCATTGTGCTACACACGCGCGTTTTTGCGGCAAATATTTAAATCAATGTATAAGGTCGCCAATGGGTTGGTATATACGTATATGCATATATAATAAATGCATATGCATGTATATATGTATGTATTTATGATGCCTCCCAACGCTTTACCGCCTCATCGTGGCTGGGAGGTGTTCTTCGGTGTCGGACTGCGATGTATAGCGGAGGGATTCATCCTCCTGGCAGGGTCTCCTAAGGTGAGAGGGCGTCCGGCGTTTCCATCAGGAGGCTTAGCTAAGAGTAAGCCAATACCAGGATCCACCACCGTCCTGGCATCAAGGTCGCATGGTGGCAAATCTCCCTCTAATCCACTAAGGCGGCGACTGCCTGTCGTGGTGACGACCCAAGGCAGATTTTGGCCAGGCTAGCCTCGGGATTTCAGGAAACCTCAATGGCTTAACCAAGTATCCGAAAAATGGAGATTATGCTGGGGACCCCCGCATAACTAGTGAGGACGGGCGATTTAAGTATGAAGGAAGTATTATTGCCATTATTATTTTCACTGTTGGTTGTTCAGGCACCTGTGTTACATTGCAGATGGTTTCGGTTAATTGATCGTTGAGGAAATGGCTTCTTGGAAGCGCGAATCTTGACTAGTTCGATGTATCTTCAAAATAGCACCGTTTCAATATAATATAATGTAGTAATAATAGTAATAGTAACAATGAAATAATGTTTCAAACTAGCAAAATAGCAATTCGGCAATACGACCTCGACCATGTAGTATCTAAGAATCCAAATGACCTTACTTATATCTTGCACACTTTAGGCACTACGGCTATCACTGATGGATAGGCTTTTGGGCACGCTGCGTCTCTTTTAATCTATATTTCTGATATACCCACTGGTCAATACCAAGAGTATCACTTCTAGAAATGCCGAGAATGAACTTTTTGTCAGACAAATCTGACATCAAATTTCCGAAACCGGCGAGTTGAGAGGCGTTGTGATATCGTTATTAGTTAGCTATTATTGCCTTATAACCATAACGAGGGGCGCATGTACCGCACTGGTCAGAGGCGCCTTGTAGTACACATGGGATAGATCCCCGCGCCAGCGCAAAGAATGCTTTTTCTGGTCTGACCTATCCTGATTTGGTCTGCTTCCGAATAGTTAGAGAATAAGTGGTTTTAAAAGATGTTATGGTACTCACTGAACTAAAAATGTGGATGGAAAGAGTTCTGATACTAATTGAACTGGAATTATCTAGTTATTGTTCACATTGTCCACACGCGTTCTTACGTATGGACACTACCCCTCCAAAATGTCACGGACGTCTTAATCACTCTCGTGCTCGAAATGCGAGCCGTGACATAAAAATTGTGGACGAAATATCTATTTCTTAGAAAAATGCAATACAATACAACACTAGCTGACGTTTCGGCAGTATCGCCTTCTTCAGAGCCGCTTTTCGTGTTTTTCTATGGAAGTGAATGTATACTGTTTAAAAACTTCGCGATTGCTGAACAAGAAAACGACACATTCATATTCCAATGCCGAGGTTAATAGAAAGTCGATCCTGGGAACTATCTGTTTCTTACCTACTTGGATACTTGGATGGCCCATCCTTACTGGTTGTGCGGGCCCCAGCATAATCTCCACTTTTGCGGAGATTTGCTGGTTAAGCCAGTGTGGTTCCCTGGAATCCCGAGGTCAGCCTAACCAAATTCTACACTAGGTCTTCATCACCACAGGCAGTCGCAGCCCTTGTGGATCTGAGGGAGATTTGCCTCCATGCGACTACTTTGATACTAGGGCCGGTGGTAGTTCCTGGTATTGGTTTACTCTTAGCTAGGCCTCCTGACGAGAACACTGGACTCAGCTTGGGAGACCCTACAAGGTGGATGATTCCCCCACTGCACATGGCAGTGAGACACCTAGGAACACCTCCCAGCCACGATGAGGCGGTAAACCGTTAAGAGGGTATATATTGAATATGAATTCCGCTGATTCCGAGTGAATATATATTCACCTACATCTGTGCTCAGGGTTCAGAAAATCACAACTTCACCTGAACGAGACAGGATAACCATTATTTTGTTGGAAATAATCTAAAGATACCAACCGTTTTTATTTCAACTAAAAATTTAATCTTAACCCTTTTATTTACTGCCTTTTTCTTTTTAATGTGAGAGTATGTTGCGAAGTATAACTCGTATATAATGCTGAGATATTTGCAAAACTCCGGACCGCAGGTGTATGCGGTGGGGAACGAACGCGCTATTGTCCTTTCCGGGGAGCAACATACCCTGCCATTAAAAGGAAAAAGGCAGTAAATAAAAGGGTTAAGATTGTGATTATAACTAAGCCTCAGCTTAACTGGGTTCAATGCCGATTTGGGCTCCCCAGATCAATCCCGTTGTCGGGTGACTGCTAATAGCAAAAGATCAATAGCACTAGCTGAGAGACAAGCAAAACGGAGGAACCGGATGGTGTGGTGGTCCGGAGTTTTGCAAATATCTCAGCATTATATACGAGTTAAAAGCTTAATATTGCTTACCTTCTTGGATGCTTGGACGGTGCGTCTTCACGAGTTTTGCGGAATTTGGCACACTTTACATCCGTTTCTTTGCCCCACATTCTTTTGTGCGAGTTGGTAATTTGATTCAAGCATGGTGGCGCGTGCGAGTCTCATGCCGTAATTTGTAGAATAACCTCGGCTGGGTGTACCTCTGGCAGACTTTGTTTACAAGTCCATCCAACGTGTAGGTGGCCATTAGGGGACGTTTGCATTCTCGTGGAGTCCACTCTGCAGTTGTTTTCGTCCATTTATCGTCTGTTCTTATATTACCAACTCATTTATGTCTCGCTTCTAATATGTGTTCTCGGGCTTCAATGATGGGATAGCTTTCGAAGATCAGCGCTTCGCATTCCGGGTAAATGTTGTGTGTGTCGATTAGATTTCAGAAGACATTATTCGAGGGCTTCATGAGTAATTCATGATTCTTGATAGTTGATGTTTCAGCCTACGTCTCTAAATAGCAGAGGCTGGCAGTACTTTTGAATCGGAAAGCTTAGCGCGGATTTTCATGTTGTGTAGTTGGTTAGTGTCTTCTTTAAGAAGCCCAAGTCGGCCCAAGCTGCTCTTCTTCTTCCGTCCAATTTCTCCTCCATGTAGTTCTCCATGTTCACTGAACTTCTAAGCTATACATACGAGGTGGCCTCTGTAGTAAGAGAACCGTCCAGTTTCATGTGTTCGCCTTCGCACCATGGGTTCTTCATCAACTGGGTCTTCTTCCGATTTATGCATAGACTGATGTTTTACCACGCTTCAGTAAGCACATTGATCATCGTCTATGCTCCGTCGGTAATTCTTGAAAAGATGACGAGCTCGTCGGCGAAACGAAGATTTGATAGCAATTTTCCATCAATACGTATCCCTTTCTCTTCCCAATCGAGTGAGTTTATTATTCGCTGCATTTTGACACTGAGCAACTATGGCCGTATGGTGTGGTATTCTCAAACCTCTTTTCCTGTAGATATGGTGATAGATGGTATGGTAAATAGACATAGATCGATGGAAAAGCTGAAAGCCCCGAAAAGGGTACTCGCGGTTTGATCTGTCCTGATGTCCGAGTTTTGCAAATATCTCAACATCACTTTGGAAAACCTGTATTTTCGTAGTGCAGTTACGATAACAGTCATAGTTCTCTCGTACAATAAGTGCACTTCTAGATCAACGAACGCTGAAAGGATTGCATTCGTTTTTATGCTGCTTGACATAGTAACAGCTGACAAAGGACGACTAGGGGCAGGTGGTAGTCCCGAGAAGCGTCAATGACCCTGGACACATTTTGCATCTGACGAATGCAGCAAAATCTTTGTCGAATGCTACTTGCTGAATTGGTTACATCCCATCCATTGTTCTTGATATGTGCGACAAGATCATCTTTGTGAAGAGGTAGAGTACACCCGATAAGCATATCAGATGGTAGTTACAAAGATTCTTGTGGTTCCCCTTATTGTGCAAGACAACCGTGTGCGATGTCTTCCAGTCTTCCAGTGGTATGGGATTTTTTCCTTTTAAAGGTAGGA